ATGCTCAGCCATGAACCTGGATGGATGCTTAGTTAAGGAGCCACTTTTGGAGTAATTCTTCTAAGCTCTTATGTCATGTATGACTGGAAAAGGGAAGAGTTGCTGTCCTGTCCTGCATAGATCATGAAGCAAAGCATGCCAGCCAAAGTAACGGGTACAATTAATCTCCTTGTTCAGAAAGCAGACACAGAAACTAGCCATCCCTGAGAACAGACATAAGGTTTGCTGCAACCTGGCCACAACGTAACAGGAGGGAAATTTCCATGGACTGCAGAGGTGGAAGGCTGAGTGAGAGGCATCCGAGTCAGGTAGGAGCTTCCTGCACTAGGAACAAAAGCTTCACTGCAGCATTATTGACAAGACATTAGTGTAGGTACAGAAAGATGGGAACACAGAGCGGTATGACATGCTGTCACCATGAAGATGTGACAGATGTATTCAGGAAATATAAAATATGTTCCCATAACTTCAAATTAAGAGAGTACACGGGAAACCAACCTGAATAAAGAATCCTCCCTTCTCTGAAACATGCTGATACTAGCTGCACTAATCACACCAGATCTAATTACATCAATTTAGAAACAACACTCCAATGTTGTATTTGTAATATTTTCCAGCTTTGCTGAAAACACAATAAGGGGAACATTAAAAACATGCGTAAACATTAAACTAAACATATCATCCTGCAGTTGATCTAAAGTTACACAGGACTCATTTATCTTCCCAGCTGCTGAAATACAGCCAAAGGGATGTGGCTGCACTACCGCCATTCTTGCCATTAGGCAGCCATAACCACACCTGAGGTACTGACCAGTTGCCTAGAGAATGCAAACATGGGCTCTCCTGCTTTCAGAAGCATCAGCACTTCCTGATACTCTGACAAACCATGCCATAAAATGCACAAAAACACATCAGCAACAAATGCTGTATTTCTGTTCTTGTTACTGTTCTCCATGTTTTAATATGTATTTCATTTGTTTTGTTTTAAAACAACTCCAGCAGAATTCAACTGCTTCTTCCTTCACCCCCCACAAGACAATAGTTTAAGTCTTCAGTATCATTTAAGAGACTGTCACTGAGTGGAGGGGAGATTGTTTCTTTATAAATCCATCTACTGTATGAAGAAAAAAAATAACAAGAGATGCTATACAATGAAAACGTAATAATTAACTTTTAACCATTTCTCTTCATTTATAACCATTTATTAAGGACACAGAAAATATTTTAAGTAGGAAAAGCTTCTCATGGAACTAGAGTAGGTTAGGCAACTCAAACCCTATACTGATGCAATTTGATGCGACCATCACCAGGACCACTGGACAGCCCTGACCTTTTGATATAACAGTTATTTAAAAAACAAACAATACTTATCTTAGACATCTTAAATTTTGGACAACAAAGGCATGCCTTTGCACTGGGATGCCTCCAGTAATCCGAAAGTTTTAGGCGATCTTACAAACAAGGGTAAAAGTTGGTTACATAGGCCAAAGGAAAGATAAGAAAATGGCAGAAAGGGAACATGGATGTGTTTCTTGCCAAGTTTGAGTTATCCACGCCACCTCTGCCTCATGCAGGTACAGCAGCTGCATGCCACAGCAGAAGTAATAGGGCTGGAACACATTCCTGTAGCATCATTTCCTGGCTTCTGCCACAAGGTCCCAGGTGTAAAATAAGATGCAAGAATCTGCACTGCAATACAACTACGCAAATTTTCGTCAGCAGAAAAACCTCATTTAACAACCCACTGGAATTTAAAGCTACAGTTTGAATCCTGAGCCCTGGCACCACTGCTGTAACAATGAAAGATCCTCCTCCCCCTGAAGATTGCTTTCTCTCAATGTACCCTTTCCAAAGTACCTTTAAGTCAATGAAGTCTTTTCACTATGTACGTTAGGAAAACAAATATGATTTTCATAGGTCAAAGATGCTGCATTAAACCAGTACTTCCAGACTCAACACTGACTTATCCCAATGTGGGAAAATAATTTAATTCTGATCAGACTCGTACAATTTTTATGTACATGGCACGCAAAATGTGGAGTTGGTAAGTTTATGCATATTGATAGTAGTGAATTACTGGCCAGATTCCCAATTAGCTTAATCAAGCCACAGTAGAGAACTGGGAATATGTTGCAGGAAATTCAGTAAATATCTCTACTCAGTTACCACTGCATGATGTTGGCCACACAACAAACTGCACGACTACCTCCATTATTATTTCTATTATGTACCTAATAAGTGCTGAGCCTCATTTTGTTATCATAGATATGAGTGGTTGTGCCATTCCTGAAGGTGTTTTAACACCACAGGCTGCAATCCTCCAGGTTCTAAGAACAAGTGACCCCTTAGAAAGGTGCTCCAAAGACTGAAATAGTGAGATTAATCACCAGAAAGGAGACAGCAAAGGAACAATAAAACCAGATTAAAAAGAGACAGATCAGAAGCTTCTCTATAGCTACAACTTAACAGACAGAGCAGTAGGGAAATTCAGCTCTGTTGACAGCTTGGAAGTACAAAACCAGGCAGAAGTGACATAAATACTCAAAATGGAGCAACAGATCAACACCAATGGAGAATTTGAGCAGGCGACTCAACATATGTACAAGGATTACGGGGAAGATAGAGTATGAAGGAGAACTGATGGGATTTCAAGTTCTGAAGACCAGATTTTAACAGTTACGAATTCAGGAACACCTGAGTGGTAAAGAGCACAGTGTTGCTCTGTTCCTCCAATGGAAGTGTTATTTATCAGGTCAGCAGACCAGGCAGCCTGACCAGCACCCCATAGCGCTTCACAAGGAACGTTGAAGGAAAGATGTTAGAATGAGAAATACCACGTTTACCTTTTCTCCTTCCCCTCTGCTCTCCCTCTCCCCCCAAAACCCAGCACTTTCATTTGATAGCAGAAAGAGAAAAGTACAACTACTTTGGTGACAGCAGCTCTGAAAACCACTGCCACACAACTACTGGCAGTTTTTATTATTAATTCAGGATTACAATATTTATCTTTGAAATAGCGTCATTTACCACTGGCAAAGTTAGGAAACACTGCCAATATAGAAGCTCAAGGAGGATGGCCTCGACTTGGTTGACCCAAAAATACCAAAAGCACATTAAAATGTATTAGCATTAAGTGCAAGTATGAACTGAGAATTTTCACTATGAGCTGAGGGACTTCTAATTGAAAAATAAAGCAAGAGTCCTGTGATCCTCCAGTCCTTGAACGAGGGTTGCACAGACAAAACAAAAAGCAAAGCCCCACGCTACTTCTGGATGAAAGACATTTTCAGCACTTCAGTTATAAATCCCATCAGAAGTTGATGCACTGCTATTTCTTCTAACATATTGCACACAGCACAAGTTAATGACTATCATGTCTCCAGTCTTTAATGTACTCAAACTCTTCCACAGCATCCTTTCCTCACATCTTCATCTCCTTAGTGATCAGCAGAGCTTTGGTCACCCCCAGACAGAATTACTCTCAAACATGCAGCAGAGGGGCACACCAAAGAAAGAGGCTGAGACCAAAAGGTGTATGACCTGCTATTGCTACAGGAGAAAGAGAATTAAAAGGCTGCTGATGTGAGAGCACTAGGAGTTGCATTCTTCAAGGAAGGCTCCTGATGCTCAGTGCTCTGTTGCCAGTGATACAAGCACAAAAAACAGGAGAGTCCTGGGCTTTGCAAGTCCAGGTATTATGCAGCCTTAGAACCTCTGATAGCACAGCTGCCTTCCCAAGCGCTTTCTCAGCCCCAGGGCCCGAGCTCAGAACAGCAACCGTTGCCTTTCAAAAACCCCACGCTGTAAGAAACTAAATTCAACTCCTGCAACTTAAAAGGCACTTCCCTCATCATCGCAGCCCAGATCCAAAGAAGCAGAAGGACAAACATCATCATCTTCCTCACTCGTCCAATAGAAGGCTCAAAGCCACTATAACACGAGGAACGGAGAGCCCCGCACCCAGACGTTCACATCGTGGCAGCGCCTGGCTGTCCCAGGGCGCCTGGTGGGAGGTGTGGAGACGCCCGTAGCGCGGATACCCGCGATGCGGCGCGCAGCCGCCGGGCCGTGCCGGGCCTTCTGGAGCGCAGCGCTGTCCCGAGGCGCGCACTGACCGACCACCGCCGGCCTCGCCGAGCCCTTCCCTTCCCCCCACGCTGCACGTGGCTCCCGGCACTGCCCGCACACCCACGGCGCTCTCGGCAGCGACGCAGCCTGCTCACCCTCCCCATCCCGCGCAGCTGCGCCGCGGGGCTCCCGCAGAGCCCTATTACTCCCCCCGCCTCCGGCAGCGCTCCGACCGCTGAGCTCCACAAAACCCCTCGCGTCAGCGGATCCCTGAGGTCACCCTCGGGGATAACGCGCCGGCAAGAGCCGACGGCTACCGCGGGCTGCTCTAACCCCGCGCCTAGCGCTCTGTTCCTCTTTCCCCGCCTCCCGAATCCCACCTGGCGTCCGCACCGCACGGTCCCGGAGGAGCGGGGCAGGCTGGCTGCCGGGGGCGGCCCCGCGGCGCGCTGTGCGCGGATTCCCCCCCCCGTCGCCCGGCTCCTAGCCCAGCCCGCACGGCACGCGGCAGCTACGGGCGACGGAACGCGGAGCCCGGACCGCGAGGGGAACGCTTTGCGCGGCGCCAGCCCCGGAGTTACGGCACTTTTCCTTTAGGACCAAACTTGCCATCTCTTGCCGGCGCCATTAATCTCCATCCCCGCACCGCTCACGCAGGAGCGAGGCGGTTGGCTTCTCCTTTTCCTCTCCTCGCCCCCGCACGCGCTCCCTAAAAACCCAACAATTATCAGTGTGGATTTTTTTCCTTAATTCCCCTACATCTGCGTCATTATATTCGCATTAGAAATCAATCAGCTTCGGTCATTAGCATTAGCGATCTACTCATAAAGCAAACACCCGTCACGCTAATGAACTGAACGAGGCATAATTTCTTGTTGTGTAAACCGATGCTCAGCTCTAATCAGCAATAAATTCAATCAGAAATTACTTACATCAACCGGAGAGCGACGGCTGAGAGGAACGGACACCCCGGACACCGGCAGAGCGCTGCGGGGAGCGGAACGCGGCCGCGGAGCCGTTGGGGGGACGCAACCCTGAGCTTGAGGGAGCACCCGACTGCAGCCCCCGCCGCGTGCCCGACCTCGAGATGAAGCCTCGCGCTTCTGATCAGAGCAGCGCAGAGCGGCGGCGCTTCGCTACAATCGGACAGAGCGAACTCCAGGTGCAGCGACTTAACGAGGCGCTCGCAATCAGGGGAGAACTCACAGCTGAAGGTGGGGGGTTAGTTACTTTGCGTGGGGGGACAAAGGAAAAGAGAAAAGAAAGGAGAGGAAAAAAAAAAAAAAAAAAAAAAAAAAAAAAAAGACATCAACAGCACCTGCGGCCCTCAGACGGTTTTCTGCAGCCCGGTGGTTCTGCGGCTTCGGCCCGGCCGCGGGACACCGCGCTGTGCTGCCGCGATCGGGGGAAGCAATGACGGCTCTGTGCGGGGCTGCGGCGCAGCTCCGGGAGAAGGCAGCCCGACTGCCGTCGTTATCAGCCCTTCCTCGCAGACCTCGCAGTAGTTTCCCAGTCGCGCGGCTGCGGGCTCCCGCTGAGCTCCCGAGGGCGGGTAGCGGGGCCGGGGCCGCCTTCCCTCCTCGCCCTGAGCTTCGGCGGGACCCGAACCAGCGGCCCCGGGCGTGGGCCCAGAGCCGCCGCCGCCGCGCGCTCCTCGCCCCGCTTCAACTTGTCTTCGCATTTCGTTCCAACCGAAATCCTCGTCCGCACCTTTTAATAAAAGTAGTTATCTGTCCGAGCGCTGCGAAATTATAGCATTTCCACCTTTAAAAGACCGTAAACAAAATAATACTGGCGAATAAATGCTGCTAGCATCGAAAGATAAATACGTCGTAAAGCCGCTTCAGACGGCCGTACAAAATGTGCTGCGCTTTATAGGCTGGAGTACAGACAGACGCATCGATACTGCGATCCGGGAGCCCCTGCCCGGGGCCGCGCTGCCGCCTGCAGTGAGGAACCTCAGTGCGGGTTAAGAAAAATAAAAGTCCCATTTAAACTTTATTGAATTAAAGCAAAAATTAATTTTCAATATTCACACATATATTACAGAGTAATAGTAAAAGTTCAATATACTTCCTGGCGTTTAGTTGGGCCACATTTTACAAGAGCAAAACAAGCATCAAAACATTTAGCAGCCTTAAATTTCACAATCACTCAGAATTACATAGAAATATTGAAATACTGCGGTCAGCCCTCGCTGCAAACAGTTCTTCACGTAGAAACGTCTCCTTCAGCCTGCACACAGCCAGAGCGGCATCTGCTCTTCCACCGTGGCATCCACGTATTCAAAAATACTTTGCGCTTTTGTTTTGTTGTGTGGGTTGGTTTTTTTTTTAAGTTAAAACTCAGAGAAAAGAGTCGAGATTAACATGTTTTAAAAACAAAACTACAAAATATGCTGTAAAGGACAATGGAAATACCTAAAGTCTACTTGTGCGAGGCAGAAACCATGGGGAACGATGGCCGATTACACAGTGACACAGAGATGGGAACTAATTCTGTGGGAGGAGAGAGGAATAGAAATGGGGCTGTGATCAATTATAGTGTCTCCTGCCTGTTGGCTGCAACACAACGGAAATAAGGAGTAATTCTTCAAAGCGATGTACACAACCTAAGCAGGATTTAGCTTCTTAAATATTTGCACGTAAAAAGTCCGCTGTCCACAGCTCCGCACACCCAGCTGGGGCTGGGGAACTTGTAGGAGATTCTCTGACTTGCAGCTCTCCCTTCTCTCAGATGAGATGTGGTTTAAAGCGGGAACACCAGAAATCCAGAGAATGTCGAGTACTTCCAGCCCCCCATCAGGTTCCCTCTCTCCAGTTTTAGATAAGCTCTGTCTCCTTTCTCCATCTGTATCAGCACTCCGTTGCTGGCAGCTTCTCGGGTCACATCTTGGTCTCCTGCAAAGGCAGAAATCACTGGCCACCCATTTAGCATCAAACTCACCTAAAGAGCAAGATAAAACAAAGCCCTTCGTCAGTGCAAGGCTCACCTCGCAGGGGAAAGTCGTTAGGAAAGGGCCTCTTTTGGCAGCTGCAACTCCAGCCCATAAAAATGAAACAGCGTTGTGAGCCCGGCTGAGGTGTGCCCTCCAAGGGAAGAGGGCTTTCACCGCTGTTTTAGAGCGGCAGCCACATCAAAACCCCTGGTGCATATAGAACAAGGCATTGATCCTATTCTGAAGGATTTCAGTGGGGTGCCCGCATGTTTTCAGGCTATGAAAGAGCTCTGCTCACACTCAATGAAAGGTGGCTCTATGCGGAACCTCAGAGCCGTGCGGAGGGCTGTCACAGCCGCCCCTCAGCACATCTGAGGTGAGTTCAGGGGTGTTTGCCTTTGCCAGGCAGCAAAGACAATGTGCCACAACAGTCAATAGGCATTCCTCGGATCACACTGCCGACCCCAGGACTGTGTACCCCGCATTAACAATGCGCGCCCTGCCCAACCTAACGTGGGAAGCACTACGACGCTGCAGCTGTGCGTTCACCTTTGCAATGCGCATCGCTGCACAGACATTTTCCGCCTGGGTTCTGCTACCTGGCTTCGGGCCGGTAGTACCATATCCCTACCCAGAGGTGTGTGTGCACCGAGCCACACACCAAAGGCGTGTACGGGGTGTCTGCATGTCTGCATGCGGCGCTGCATTCATACACTCCAGATGGGTCCACGTCTCGGAGCCCCCCAGCTCCCTTGGTCCCAGGAGCCTCCCCTCCGGCGGCCGTGCAGCGCTGCCCTTGATCCGGGATTTCAGCTCCCGGCCCGGGGCGGCTCTCGCTGCCAGTGCAGGCCTCGTGGCCGCGCGGCCCTCGGGCGGGGCGGCGGGGGGTGCCCAGGGACACGGCACGGCCCCACCGCGTCCCGCTTCGCTTCGCTCCGCTCCCCCCGCGCCGCTGCTCCCGCGGGCTGACCTGGATGGTTTGCCTGTTGTAGACTTTCACCACGTGAAAATTAAAACTGTAAATTCCTTTCCTTGGAGCTATGAACGTGCTCCTCTCCGAGTCGAAGTTGCTGCCGATGTTCACTAGTACCTGCAAGGAAAGGGCACCGTCAGCGCTCCGCCGAACCCCGGCCCCCGGCTCCCCCCTGGGGCGGGCAGAGCCCCGCGGGGCGGTGCGTCCCCTCCTAGCCCCGACAACTTCCCGTCCGCAGCCCCGCTCCGCACCTGGTCGAAGTAGATGATCATGGTGCGGTTGCTCATCTCGGAGGGCTCGTGGTTGGTGCTGCGGATGGCGGAGAAGGCGACCTTGGCGCTGCCGGAGCGCACGGAGATGCCGAGCGCGGTGCCGGTGGGGTCGGACGTGGGGTTGGAGTCGCACACCACGAGGCACTTCCCCTCCAGCACGATGGGCTCCGTCTCGTTCTGGCCGCACACCAGCCACGCCGCGCCCAGCAGCAGCCCCAGCGCCAGCGCCGGCCCCGGGCCTCGCATGGCGCCGCGCTCCCTTCGCTCCGCTCCGCGCCGCGCGGTACGGCACGGCACGGCACGTCCGGGCACGGCACGTCTGGGCACGGCACCGCTCCGCTCGCCCTGCTCCGCCGCGCTCAGAGAGGGGCCGGGAGCGCCCCACCGGGAGGGAAGCGGCCGCGAGAAGGCACGGCAGCACCGGCGCACATAGCGCGGAGAGGTGCGGGGAATTGCGGTGCGGGGCCGAGCGAAGCCGTCCGCAGCCGCGCGGGGCTGAGAGAGGCGGCGGGAGGCGGCGGCGCTGCCGGGGCTGCCGGCGAGCACAAAGACGGCGCGGGGCGCGGCCCCGCCTCCCCACCGGCCCCGCGCTGGCGTCAGCGCCCCGCGCCCGCCCCCGCCGCGCCCGACCCAACCGGCGCCGGTCCCGCACGGCCGCCGCCAATGGCCGCGCGGTCCGCCTGCCGCTGCCGCGCTTGTTAGGCGGCGCGGACGCGGGAGCAGGTGCCCAGCAGCAGGTGCCCGGCAGCAGCCCGCACCGCACTGTACCGCGCAGCGCAGGTAGGAGCGCGGCGGCGGCAGCGCCGCGTGGGGCTGGGGCGGCGCGGAGCGGGGCGGGGGGTACGGGAAGCGAGCGGCTGCAGGCGGGGTAGGGGCCTCCCGCCACCTCCGAGCAGCAACGTCGGGGCGTGCGGCAATCTCCGCAGCCGGCCCCTCCCGCGTTACGGGACGATGCCCTGACCGCACCGTCTCGTTCCGCAGGAGCGGAGGGGCTCGAGCGAGAGGCGCGGTCCCGGCTGTAACCAAGAAAATTTCCTCGCTCACCGAGCCCCCTTCGAGCAGCGCGGCGCTCCGCTGCCAGGGAGCTCCTGGCGCCGGTCCGGCCCCTCTGCCGCTGCCGCCGCCCCGCGCAGCGCGCCCCGGCGCCCTTCTGGCTGCGCTTCCGGCCCGACGGACTCCGCGCCGCGTCCGTGCCGAGGGGCCGCCGCCAAATCTGGGCCGGAGCAGAAGGGATTCACTGTGAACTATGAGTGCCGCAACATAAGTTTTCTAAATGGCAAATGCGTCCAAAAGTAAACTTGTATTCAGACATTAAAATCAACTGGAGTTGGTAGCATCCTCTCTGGAAGTTAAATTTCACTGAAAGCTGGGGCGGTACGGGGGTCGGGTTGCGCGTAGCCGATCCCTCGGGCCCTGCGGGAGCCGGTACCGCGGCGGGGAGGGGACCCGGGAGCCGGGTACTGCTGCGGGATGGGCAGCAGCACTGAGGCGGCTGGGGGCAGTGCAACTGCAGCAAGGAGACGGGGGAAGGAAGACGGACAGAGAGGCGTCGGAGACAGCAGAAAGAAAAACTCCTGAGAAGTGTGAAAAGAAAAGGAGGGGGAGGAGCTACCCACAGGCTGCCAGGAGCCGTCCCGCTGGCAGCTTCTGGTCTCTGCTGTATCGTTGCCGAACTGGGCATCAAGGTCAGAAACAGAAACTTTCTTCAAATCAAATCGTTATTTATAAATATGTCTAAGGGCTAAAGCAAATCAGAATCAGCCACAATAAGAATTTTGCTTCCTTATCAATGCTGGTGAAATAGCAGAGGGAAACGCAAACTGAAGGAGCGCAACTTTGTAAAAAGTTCTGAGTGCTTAGCTGCACTCTTCTGACGTTATGAAAAATATGTGTATGTTCCTCTTTTAAGGCACTTCCTCTGCACAACAGACTCATTTCTTGTGCGCTGCTTTCTGTAGTTCTGATGGGTGTTCTGATGGGTTCCCTCCTCAGCTGGAGTTCGCCCATGATGATTCCGGGGGACTGCTGTGGCAGAAGCAAGGGGGGCTCTGGTTCCCAGCTCCGTGGGCTCAGAGGGATGGAAGTAACAGAGAACAAGAACTGCAGGAGCTGGGAAAAGGAACAGATCTGTCGATTTCCTAGAAGCCATACCTACAAACAGGAGATGGGCAGACAGGCAGGGGGAAGTGCAAACCTGCCTGTGCTGGACACCATCATTCCTATGGACTATCAGCCTTGCACACTTGACTTGCGCTGTAGCGCCCAGCTTCTGCAGCTCTGGCTTTAATAAAGTAATGCCAGCCATGCAAATGAGATATTACTTCATTTTCATTAAATGTCACATGCTGAGCTAGGCTGTTATGATGGTTTTCTCTGCATTGACAACAGGCTGTTATTTGTACTGGGAACAGAGAAAAGATGCTCAGCAGGAGGATGTATGTACTGATATATAAGAACATGCCTTAATTAGTGATGTGTGGCAAAGAGCTCCCAAGCTAGGAGTGCAGATTTGCAAATCCAGATGTTTACAGAGGGATGAGAATTACACGACTCCATCAAATTACAAATTGCTTTGTTAATCAATGTCACTAAGATACAACAGGACAATTGTTGTTCAGATACAATGGCAACAATATTAATTCGTTGACAAACTATAGTATTTGTTGTTTGGTGTTAGACTGAAACACAGTCTAACACTAAGAGATGGTATTTCTCATGTAGGGCCCTTTTTTTTTTTGTCTTTGTTTTCAGAAACATTTCTGTGGGTAAGGAGAAAATGTGTGAACCATCCACCTTGTGGTAACTAGCCCTGAGCTGGTTATGTGACTGGTTGGCTGGTCTGGTTTACAGATTCAGAATGGATTGTCAGTCTGCAAAACTCCCCTAATGCTTCACCTGGTTGTGAGGAAAAACACCAACTTGGAAGTAATCTGGAGGAAAAAAAATAGTTCAGTAATTCTCATAAATTTCTGATGATCCATTTCAGGACTGGTTACTGTCCTGCTCAGGCAATGAGAAAGTTGCTTGTTTTAGTCCAGAAAAATACGGGAAGACCAAAAAACCTTTTTGTTTGTTTTTTTACCTTACAGAAGGAAGTTAAAAGCTCAGAGGTACTGAATTGATGCCTTTAGAAACTGAAATATGATTTAGCCATAAAGCAGTTAAAACCATGAGCAACAGCAGCATTACCTGCCCTGCATTACATTGTCAGTAAGCCCTAATCCTGTTTTAGGGAAATCACCCTTGGAAACTCAGTCTCACTGGACATTTAACTAGCTTCCCTTATAAAGAAAACCTCTAAGGGGAGAAACTATAAGCTTCTGAAAACAAATACAGAAAAATCTATTAGAAGCCTTTTTTCCTTCAAGAGAACAATTTATCAAGAGTTTAGCTGGCTGTGTATAAAACCACCTTTTCATGGACTACTTGCCTTTTGATTTAATCCTTTTTGAGTTATAAATACAAGGTCTGGCCTGTAACCAGATAACTTATATGAAATGTGGTTTGTTCACAGTTCTGAAAATGCAGTTTGCTCTCTGCTATATTAGTTGAACAGCAAAAAGGCAATTCAGGGATTCATCTTTGCCCTTATAAACTTCAGATACCCCTCTCCCCTAGCATCTGCTGGGATTTTGCACAAAGTCTGAAGATGTATGAAAATGAGATTTATAGCAAAAGACCTCTTGTTGATCTATACTGTGCACTACTACAACTGTTTGATTTGCAGTTGTAAGAGAGATTTGTATGTATTTATGGTGATTTGCTTATGGTGTCACCTTCAGCTTCCACAGCAAGCAATTAAGGTATCTCAAAGAGCAGGTTGAGTCAGGTGAGAGCACACAGCAGGAACAAATAAGCTGTTGGGGTCCCACCCAGCAGCAGCGATCTGTCAGCCCACTCCCTATGGAATAAGAATGACTGCAGATTTGCTGCACTGTGCTTGCCAGCACAGGTTTTGCACAGCAGAGAAAAGACAGAATGGCACAGGCAGGCCGTTTCAGGTGCCAGTGGGGAACAGCACTGGGCCTAGGGAATTCTCCTGTGATTACTTCTTCTTGTAGGAGAAAACAGGCACAGAGGGTAAAACCCAGCCAGTAATGTGAACAGCTAAGGAGTGCATAAGCTTTCTGAGGTGTGCACCCAAGAATAACTGCCAGGTAGACAGTTGTGTAGATTCATATCCAAACATTCTGTAATTTTATTTGGCCCAATTAAACCAGCTTGGTTCCCAAATTTAATCATGCCCTGCTTCCTATAGAAAAATAGTTCTGATTTTCTACTTTCAGATCTTCTGCCCAGAGACTAACAAAATAATATTGGTGTTTTCCCAGAAAATTGATGTATTTTAAAATGTTTGCAAAGACTGTGATAAGATGTTTAAATAAAAATTCACATTTTCCAGTTACAATTTTGGCAAATCTCAATCTCAGAAATAAGATTTTTTTATCTTTACAGGTAGCTGTAAACAGGAGGATAACAGGGAAACTGTTAGATGATCTTAACCAAACTGGGAACGGCAGCAGTAGACAAATATAAAACTGTTGACCTTGAAGGATCATTGGGCTGCATGAACATTGGGTTCTGTACCTTCTGAAGAACAAATTTATTAAGACAGTGCCAGTAATGTCATCTGCTGCTTTTCATTGGGTGCCTGCAATACAGTCTTTGATTTCTAATCTCCCATTTATACATTACCTTGGATGAAGTTAAAAGTGAGAAAAATATTAGCTCAATGTAAAAGATAGTTACAGAATCACAGAATCACAGAATTGTAGGGGTTGGAAAATCATTAAACATGCTGGTTTATATAGCCGTAATTGTCCATATACCCATAGTGCTGCCAAGCATTTCTTTCTTTCCTATTTTAAACTAACTTTGGATTTCAGTCTTACCTTGAGAGAGCATCTTCTTCAGAGGCAAATCTCTTTGGTATTTACTGATGCCATGAAAGTTGCTCAGATAGGATATCAGCAGGTTTTCTTTCAGGTGCAAACAATTCCTAAGCAAGCAAAGATGCAAGTGTCAGGAGCTTGACCTGTTTTTTTTGTCAGACGCTTCTTTCAAAACAAGTGCATTGTTACAAAGAAATAACTCAAATTGAAAATTATTTGCTATTCGAATGGGTAATTGTATTTTAACAGGGCAAAATCCCAACCCAACTTGCCAGAGAACACTCAGCTAAAGCCAGCATGTGTTGGAACAGCATGTGTGCTCACTGTAATTGTAAATGGGGATACTGTGACCATGCTGCCTCTTCTGATTTAAAAGAATTAAAACCAACACTGTCCAAATTTTAACTGAAACTCCTAATAATTAGGGGTTATTAGGGGCTAGCTTTATTTTCTGCAACAGTTCTGTTGTATTTGGAGATTCTATTTAAATCTAGAATTAAGAGCTGTGTTTGAACAGGTAATCCAATCTTCTCTGTGTAATTTAGCCAATGATTTTTTTTTCCTGGTCCTTAGTTTTGGCTGTGTTTCAAGATAAACACTGAAACTGCAATACTAAAAAAAACCTCATTCAATATATTTTACCCAAAAGGATATACCAGGACAGCCTACAAATGATCTTAAAATTCTGATTTATTTATTTATTACTTACTGAGGAAGCTCAGTGACAGGGTACTGATGGGGACTTCACAGTGTACATCCTCCCCTCTAGTGGCTGTTCCTCTCACAGAAAAGTTGCAACACTTCAGCATTTCATCTGTACTAAGTACAAAGTGATGGGCACAGCATGGAGGAAAGCTAGACAGGAAGAAGACATTATATACAATCTTTTATGCACTAGGATATTCAAATCTTGGAGTGATAAGAGCTATAAGAAGACAGAGATGCACAACGAGAGCTGCAGATTTGACAATATTTTTGTGAAAAACATGTTTTCCTTGAAAGATGATAGTAGTTGTGATCACCTGCATGCAAAACCAGCTTCACAGCCATTTCTCAGCCTCTCAGACCAATCTTTTTGTCAGCTTGTCTTGCTTTCCTATATTGCCAGTGCCTTACAGGACTCATAGAGTGGAAAAAAAAAAAAAATGTCAGTAAGCCTATAGAATATCTATCCCTCTTATTTCCTCCAAACCTTTTTCTGCTGTCCACTGCATTCTGCAATTCACCTGTCCTTTTGTCCTTAACATTAGCAAACCCATATCCTAGTTTTCATGTACATTGTTTACTTTTTTGCTATTTCTACTATGAGATAAGTGCCTCTAATACAACCCAACGCACATTCCCAAATTGCTGTCAAAGTGATGTGGCAAACCCATGACTCTCAGGAGAATAGATCACTGCAAAAGCAGAGCTATCCAGAAACTAGGTTGCAGAGGTACAATCAGCACATGGAATATTTTGTAAAGACTTATTTCTTGCCTGCACAAAGGGGCAAGTGGTCATGCAAGGAAGTCCCTGCACTGTACTGCAGCTCTGGCCAGCTTTTCCAGGCATTGCACCAGGAGCACTACGAAGTCTAAATATCACAAACTTGGGAAGTAGGCTGGAAAAAAAAAAAACAAACAGGGGGAGAGAAAAATTGCTGGAATTTCATTCACGTCTCACAATGAGAACCACACTGTGAGAGTTTCCTGTCCCTTCAACTGAAGATATCTCTTTTTCCTCTGCTTACTGTCACCCTATTTGATTGCATCCACTTACACCAGTTTCATAGCAACGTTGATCTCTCCAGCTGTATTTGTCCATTCTGGTTCTGAACAGAACAGTCTAGGTCTTTGTAAGCTACAGTAGATTTCATCAGTATTTGTCAGTGCTCTGGCAGAATATACCAGCGAAGGCTATTAGATACCTCCCTGTTTTCATAGCACTTACTGGACATACAGTCTCAGAGTACATTTCCATCAAAAATAAAAATCTGGCATGATGTGACTATCAGATCTGGAGACTTTTAACCACAAGTCACCAGCAATTAAAATCCTAATATTAATATTTTGTTAAGGTCTCCTCCTTCTGAGTAACTAACTCATTATTCAACTAGTCAAATGTGTTTGCAGCCTTCCCAGCAGGATAACTCTCTAAAATAATGGGTTACTTACCAATTCTTTGAACTTTGTCTGGGACAATTCTTACTGCCTTTTTTCCTCTCTGGATTTGGATAGGAAAATTATTAATAGTTACATGTATTTTCAGCAAAAAAAAAAAAAAAAGAAATAGAAAATTCCATCAGATACTGACTACAGCTACTTTTTATCATAAAATTTTACAAATTCCCCACCAGTGAGCTCATTAGTGTAAATGATAGAACCTTATCCCAGGTTTAAAGTCAGCATTTTTCCTCAGCTACCAAACAGTCTGTTTCCTTTCGTGACATGATAATGGAGGACTTTACTCTAGAGAGCAAGGAAAATATTCTTATCTGTTTTTGTAGGGCAATCAAGTAAGGCTGGTAAAAAAACAAGTGGATCAAGTGAGATTTTAATGCTTCTGGTATCCTTGTGGAAGCCTTTTCCAAAGGAAGCAGAGCCTCTGCAGGAGAAAGAAGTGCACACTGTGACTGCCTGCAAATTGTGTGGAGCAGATGTCAAGGGAAAGCAGAAGATGAAGGCTAAAGAAAATAAATACTCTTCCCTCCTCAATTTTGCCCTCCAAAATCTTTGTAACATTGACTAATCACATCTTCATACCTGTTGGTAACCCCGTATAGCATCAGTATTGCTCAGCGCACACTGGTTCTTCAGTTCTGGGAAACCACAGTGATGCTGGCAACAGGTGCAGGAAGTGAAGTCTTCTTGCTCTCCAGAAGCAAGAGGTAGCTGTGAGAGGTATGAGGTTAAGCTCTTAAAGACACTGGCAACTAGAGATAAAGATAATGCTTAAAAAATTTCAGTTGAAAAGGATGACTTCAGATTACTTTAGTGGCTGAGAGAGCAGAAAGGGAGGGCAAAATCCTACATGCCAACCAAACTTTCATGAATTCAGGCTGGAAAGTGCAAATCTAATAAGGACAGGGTTAACCCATAAACGAGCATATAACACTGTTCATACTGCTCACAGTACATCAAAATATCTCTAATGAATAAGGTCAAAGGCTACAGTGGCACTGGTCAGAGGGCTTGCTGAGTTGGGAGCAGCTAGTCAAAAAGAGAGGTGAGCTCATATTCAGTATGTTACATGCTCGTCTGCTGCTTTCTGAATTTGTAATATTGCTAATTTCCATCTTCTGAATACATCCAGTATTGAAGGAGTTCATGCCTGTGAACAAGTGCCCCATCCCCCAGAGCTCACTCAGGCAAAAGCTTGTTTGGCTCCCAGCAGTGCTGGGAACTCTGCTCGCATCCTCACCCACAGGACCCAGTGGCTGAGCGGGTGCCTGGCACGACAGCCCCCAGCAGGTTCTGTGAGCTCCTGCGGCTCTGCTCCGACCTCAGCGTGGGCGAGCTGCAAGGCAGCTCACTTGAGTGACACGAGAGAAAATAGGATAGCTGCAGACACAAGACCTTTTCTGGTGAAATGCTATCAGTCCGCAGCAGTGCAACAAACAGAACAACCGCAACATATAGATGCTTAGATTTTGTATGTCTGAATCAATAGAGAGACAGACCTGTTTGTGACATAAATTCACTGATGGCTTTCCAAGGAAACCTATTACTAGTCAAGTGCAACTTAGAAAAAAATGCTGAATGGAAATACAATGTTTTACTTTTGGGGAGAGAGATATATCTCAGAAAACAAAATGTCTTCAGTAATTGGAACAATACAGTTTAAATACTATGAAGCTATGAAACAAAGGGCCATTAATAATGCTTGGGCCACACAGAGCATTCCCACCTCTAAATAATGCATTTTCAGCTGTGCAAGTCAAGTCTGTGTTTCACATGTCCAGATGGGTCCCCATCGCAACAGCATCCTTTGCAACTCTTGTAAAGCTTCATCCAAAGCCTACCAGGCTCCAGGTCCATTTTTTTTGTTCTTTTATCCTCTCTCAGTCTTGAATATACTTAACAATCTGTGGATTTTGATGTTTTCATTCATTTCTGAAGCTGCATTTGCACTACAAGATAAGAGGAGAAAAAAAATAAAAAGCAGAACTGCTTTACACAAAGAGTGAAGTTTTAGATTTCTGTGGGTTTTTTTTCATGTTCACAGAGCACAAGGAAATGCCTGTATGCTGCAGTAAGCTCTGGATCAGCTACAAAAGCTCACGACTGTGGAGAAGGGATTTTTTATTTATTCAGCATCATAAGGACCCCCTAGTGACACTGGTGTGGAGGGTGGCTGGGATATGCAGTTCTGTTCTTTCCCAAGAGCCAAATCTACTTGTTTAGGAAACTGCTGATGTATGTGAACTTCACAGGAGATACAAATTGTGCTTAGTGTAGATGTGGCTACTGCCTGGCCCAGATTCTCATTTACATTAGAATAAGTTTTGCATGTGTATTAAATATCATAGAGGTGGAAAGAACGACAGATAAATATAGGTACCTTGCTTTCTATATGCATGGCTTCCACATTTACATTTTATTCCTGAAAACAAAACTCAAACAATACTAAGCTGAGCCTGTCACAATTACCATATTTTCTTACATCTTCCTTCCACGACTATACCCACAAAGCACTAGTCCATCAGTGCCCCCAGCAGCTTGTGACAAACTGCTGTTTCAGTAATTACTGAGCATCCATATCACATCTGTGATACAACTCACTGGAGGGGTTCAAATCTAGAAAGACAGACATCATCATTTTTCTTTTGAAGCTGAGTCTGAGTCACTGAGCTGGACACTGACTGGCTCAGCAGATCAGCAGTGGCACCAAGCATATTATGTTTATTGAACATAACAGAGGGGAACAGTAAGATACGGGATGGAAACAGCAGTGATACAAACGGAGCTAGACAGCACTGGATAAGGAATCAAGTCAGGTATTGGCCAGCCACCAGGATGACATATTCATAACAAAGATCATTTGATCGTCAGTATCAAGAAATAATGGGAGTTTTGCTTTGCAGTCCCATGTTTGGAATGATTCACAGTTTATCAACATCATTCATTGTTATGTATTTGACAAGATTTAAATCTAAAAGGACTTTTTGCACTTGATGACTTTTAATTATCCTTTTAGCATTTTCATGAATTTCTTCATTTGGATTATGTAAAATATTTACCAATGGAGAGCCCTAGCTGCATTCAATGACTCTGCATTACTCCATTTTCTTAGAGGGTCAGCACAATTTTTAAAGGCTGAAGTGTAAGAATTATGTTGCATTGCATTTCTACACTGCCTGTCCTTTATTGATGGAAACTCACCCCACTGGCCTAAGCGCTTTTGCGTGCTGGGTTTTATTTACAAATTGGCAGTAAAATGCTGCAGTCTCTTGGACTGTGTGCAATTAATTGCATGCAATCTCTTTAGGCTTCAAGATTTCATAAATGATGATAGATTCTAAAATGCAGACCCATCGGCTGTTTTGCATATTGCACATATTTTTCATATTTCCAAGTCAGGACATATGCAAAATCATTTCACTGTGGCATAAACACAAGAAAGATGGTTTGGGAGAAAGGACAGGGGCCAGAGTGTCTGTCTCTTGTTCTCCCACTCACTGCTGCAAACTGGGTAGGTCATCTAATATCTCTGCCTTTATTCTGCTTCTGCACAAGGTTATTTTTTCTTGAGAGCTTGATTTCAGTGAATGAAATTCCAATTTATTAGTATTAATATATTCCAATAAATGGTTGCAGTGCTTTAGCATTGCTTTGAAGTCAGTCAAATAAGCATTAAAGAAATTGTGAATTGGAAGAAACCTCAGTTTGATCCATCTGATATGCCACTGTTGAAATGTTAGGTGTGGGATGGCCTTCTCAAAGCAAGAAACTGATAAAGTTACATGTGCTAAATGGATCCTGGAGGCTTGAGAAGCTTTTTCTCTAATCACTCATTCATTATGAATACACTGACATGAGTCGTGGCCCCAAATCACTAGAAGTAACTTTGACAACATAAAGCATGTAAATGTGCTAGTAAATACATTACAACATCATCATATCTATGGCTACTCATACAACTTTCTTCTATCTACTTTTATTGTTCTTTCCTTCCTGCCTTACTGTTGTGAATTATCGGCAGCAGTTGGAAAAGTGACACAGACTCTAATTATGTATATAATACCATAATTGAATCCAACTACTTTGTTTCCCCAAAATGCTATTCTTTATTAGCTAGCAGGCCGCTTGTTTGTGATCCTAGCATTGTTGGTCACATCAGGAAAGCCATCTCAGTAATAAAACAGCTATTGTAGGGGAAGTATTATTGGTTTTGTACAGAGCTCTTTAGCAGCAATTATGTACAGCTTTTAGTTACATTGAGGCTTACCCAAGCATTGCTGAAACAAACCATTTGCAATGACATGCAACAATGCCTGTACAGTATTTTTACAAGCAAACTGAAATAAGACATTTTGGTGGTAACATGTAAATTAGCCTTGAGGCTTGCAATGCAATGTTCATCAAGTGTGTAACATTTAATTACAAGACCATTGAGCATGAGTCCTCTGAGATTTTTCATCCTGACAACAGAAAGATTATCCCACTGAACAGACAATTTGATTCCTCTTATCAGATGTGGAATGAATCCTCCAGTCCCTCAGCAGGCCAAGCAGGCATTTAAAGAGTGATGAGTTTCAGAACCCTACCTGGTAAAGTACTTTGTGGAGGCTTAAGATACCTTGCTGAATTCCATCTGCAAGGAATTGAGACTTGTAGTCTCCATGTACAAAGTACCATAATCATGGGGAGTCTAATCTAATCTAATAAAGAGCTCAGTCTGGCTTATCTTGATTTCTACCTTTACAAACAAAGCCATATTGCACTTGAGGAGCTACATCGTGGGCACTGCAGTGTCTTCATACATTCATTCAGAACTGGTTGTTCCCAACACGCCTCAGAGCATAGCAGCACAGGAAGCTCCAGCAGTTCTGGGCCGGTGCAGTTTGCATCCACATGTGTACAGAAATACAGACCAGATTTTTCATTGGCTCCAGCCCCTAGCACAAACAGTACTAAATTATTTGTGTCAGCCTCTAGTTCTAGACACTTCTAGAAGAGGTAGTGAATATTTTGCCGTGGGTTCCAAGGTGTTACACAATGGCATTTGTGGAGCTTGCTTCAAAAGTAATGCCTCCCATTTATTTCCATGGAAATTACAACAGACACAGAGCAAAATAACCCTCCTTGGTAGGGCTTAGCTACAGAACACCATTTTTCTACATAGTCACCACCATTAGCTATGCATCTTCACCAGTGGTGCTTAAAAATTGCACACGAAGGTTGCACCTCTCTCAAAGGCTGACCACGCAATATGAAATAGACAACCTTCCACCATTTGTTTTTCTGACTTTTCCCTGTCTCTGACAAATGCCTGCACACTCTTCAGAGCTCTGCTCAGAGCCCGGTTAGGGCCCCCCAATGACCTATACCCTTTCTGTTAGCATGTTTTATTTTCTGGTTATCTACACTGCTCTTCAAGTGAAGTCCTCAGCGAATACACTTGTGGATGTTTTTCATGGCTAACCCTACTAGCTGACATGGACGAAGGACAGAAATCATCTATGTGGAAACGTCAGAGTATCTCATACAGGTAAGTTTTGTGGCAAACACAGTTTAGTAAGTGTTGCCTATTTGATGTTGAGTGTTAAAATTTCATGGTTTTTGTTTTGTTTTTTAAGTAATAAAGCTTGGAGTTATAAATGGTGTATATAAGTGTGTGTAAAATTTGGCATTTGTCTATAAAGAGTGTAGAAAGATTCTATCCTCATTTTTAGTCTGTATCTTTGATGAACTGCATTAAAAATAAGAGAGTTGAAGAGGGAAAGAATAAACCATACAAAAGTTTTGCTCATCATCCTAAGGGCCTCCTCGTTTTTTAGTCTGGAATAATTGAAGATGACATTAGCATTTTGTCAGGAGGAAGGAAAGTTTACAAGAATTTGATTACAAGAACTGACTGAAATTAATTAAACTGAGTTCTGGATTATACGAATCATACAAAATCATACAAAATCATTAGCCATTTCAAAAATCCAAAATTGATGCTATTTTCAAGTATACTTGAGAGACAAAATATCCTGTAGATTTGCTGAAGATAGGATTTTCATTTTCAGTAGCTACTTTGCACAACAAATATATTTGCTAACTTACTGTTTGTTTAGATGCTGGAAAATGAGAAGCCTGAGGAACTGGTTGCCCTGCTGGATGTGGCAAGGGATACAACCACATCTGGGACAGCTACTGTTAATGTTCTGAGAGCATCTCGCTTCCCAATACTCAAATGTTAGCTTTTTATGCAAATAGTCATCACAACAGCATGCTCAATCTTTGCTATTGCATGATTAGTGTTCTCATGTCTAATCAATAAATCCCCAGAGCCTCTCCATCTAATGGCCATTTTGCTTAGTCTCTCCAGTAGGGAGGTCTGTTTAACAGCAGGTTTTCAGCAGAACAAAATGTGGAATCAATAGCCTGAGAATAATCTGCCAGGTTGTCCTTATGAAATATTTGTATTTTTCCATGCAAGTTCTAACAAACCAAATGACTTTTCCAATACGGAAGGGCTTAGTGCCCCGTATGGAAATACATCAACTACACGATCACCAGCACACACAATAGGATCTCTCAAGGTCACTGGTGAATTGACTGAAGAGCTTCAATAAAGCTTTAAAGTCACATCATGCAGATACTGAACACCCACCTAAATGTTTACAAATTGCCTCTCAGAGATTGCAGTGTGTAAGTGAGCGTGGCCCTGGGAGGACGCGTGGCTTTTGTCTTCAGGTCTTGCTCCACTCCTCTACCTCCCTGCTGCTGCACATAACAAAAATCGAAATCTTCTCTGCTCTTTGTTCTAGGCCTGATCTGGGGAAGGGATCCTGATGTCAACCTCCTCTTCTGTTTGGTTTAACCAGCACAGTATATGACATCAGCCCACTCCTTAGTGCCCCATGAGTGAAGTCAGAGCCAGGGACACATCTGCATGCACATCTACACTCTGGCCTCCAGG